GAAAATATGATTGTGTTATAGGCACTCATATACCTGAATGCTTAGGAAATGGGAATGCCATGCCAACTTACACAGGATCATAGCATAACACTGAATCCAGCGAAGCCTCTGTTTGAAGGTCTTTGCCGGCAACTACATAGATTTTGTCATCCACCTCTCCCAGACCGAAGAGACACCTTGCTGAAGGTAGAGGTGGAAGTCCAACCCACTCAGATGCTACATTATCAAGCTGAAAGAAAAAAAGTATAGGAGTTGTGCAGCTTGTTAGAAAAAAGTTGCAGGTGTACCTTAGAAAATGTGCTATACTTTGTGTGTGGTTTAGAATTCATTGAGGTAGTCAAAGATCTTGCAAATAAAGTAAAACTATAATCCAAAAGTCTCATATGTTACCTCTGAATAACCTAGAAAAATGAGAAAATCTCGTTGGCTTACCAAAATAGCTGAAAGTACCAAACTGTGCAGGACTTCGAGAAAGGAAAAAGAAGAGAGTCACCAGAGGTGAGTTAGAGCTGAAGTTTCTTGTCAGATTTTGTTCCCATGTTCTTTTGGTCAAGTTTGAACAGGAATCATAATATTTTTACGATGCTGGGAAAGAGAGATTGTCACAGCAGGGAGTCACAGAATGTGAGTGATCCCCACATGCTATATTTAACATGCTCCCCAAGCCGGCATCCGGGACAGCTGGCCCTGTCGCTCAGTCCACAGACAACTGGAACATTAGGCAATATCTTTTTTCTTTCCTTCAAAAATGTTTAGGTTTATTAGTTTCTGATATAAGCAGGTGTTATAGCCCAGCCTTTCGTTGAGAGTCAATTGAAATACCATCTCTCTCTCTCTCTCTCTCTCTCTCTCTCTCTCTCTCTCTCTCTCTCTNTCTCTCTCTCTCTCTCTCTCTCTCTCTCTCTCTCTCTCTCTCTCTCTCTCTCTCTCTCGGTTTATATTAGGAAGTAACTTCACTTATTTTTGCTACTGCCACTTCTGCAAGCCTAAGACAGCCCTCTAAGTGCCCATGCCCCCAGGATAGGTGATTCTGGTATGGTTGGCATAAGCTATAAGCTTCAGCTTATTATTTACTATTACTACTCATTATTGGTAATTTTAAGATTTTCCACATTTCATTTTAGGACACCAAGGAATAAGAAAACTGCATTCTGAGGTAGTGCAGCCACAGATTTGTTGGTCTCTCTAGTGCTACTTCTATGTAGCAGAAGAAAAAGGAAGAAAACCCAAAATAATTGGATACCAAGGTTAGATGCAGATATTAAAGGCTGTGGTACTGGGAGGGGTCCCTGTGGAAACCTATCTATATCCGTTCTAGTAACCTTGATGAAAGCAAAGTACTAATTAAGACTAGATGAGATGAGTGGTTTAATCCCCACACATGCATTGTTAGCTTAGCATTTACTAATTTCAATATGTAGATTGTTGGCCACTAATGTTTTCATTCTTGAAAAAAATCCTTTGATAAGAAAGTGGTATGTAGTATAGTATAAATAATAATGAACATTTATGGAGTTTCTACTCTGTGACAGAGTTCCTACTAAATACTTGACATAGGTAATCTTATTTAGTCCTTCAGGATAGACACTTTGATTATCTCCATTTTATAGATGAGGAAACTGAGACACAGAAAGGTTAAATAATTTGCCCAAGCTCACAGAGCCTTTAAGTGATATTCAAATACCAGCTACATAAATCCAGTTTGTCTTTTAAAATAGGAACAGCAGGGGCAGCTGGTTAGCTCAGGTGGTTAGAGCGCAGGCTCATAACACCAAGGTTGTGGGTTCAATTCCCACATGGGCCAAGGAGCTGCACCCTCCACAACTAGATTGAAACAACTACTTGACTTGGAGCTGATGGGTCCTGGAAAAACACACTGTTCCCCAATAATATTTCTTAAAAAAAGAATAAATTAAAAAAATAGGAACAGCAGCCACAATAATCCCACGCTGGAGGGTTTACTGCCCATGCTGCACAGTACTGTTTACATCCCATACTGCCCCTCACAGGGCACTTCCTAAAGGAGAAGAAGCTGGAAACTGCCTGCCAGTCTCTTTTGTAGGTGAGCTGCTGAGCTATTTAACCTCTCTGGCCCCAGTTTCCTCCTCCTTAAAATTAGGGGTTAGACTTAGATTATTTTAATATGTGGTGTGGTTCAAAGATTTGATGAATCGATTAACTCTATGAAAAAAAACAATCTTCCCTATGTAAAAAATTCTCATAATCTATTTACACTATATGATCAAAGGTCATATTACTCCTAACTTAATACATTGTGACCAAGCAAAAAAATGCAAAACCTGAAATTCTCATACATATATTTTATTAGTCATTACCCTCTTTTATAGTCAGGTGTTTCTATCCTGGCATCTCGTTCCACTATTTGTGCCTTTTAAAAAGAGTAAGGCATGAGTAATGACAGGGAGTTGACCCTTTCAACTTTGTATAACTGTTTTTGTAGCCTTGAAGAACATCAAGCAGGTTTCCTGAACCAGAAATGAGAGGCTGTGTCAATAAAAGTAAGGGTAGTAACTGGATGGAAGAGAATAAAAATAAGGCTAGGAGTATTCCTTGGATCTATGATTTCTAGGTATCTGTGTTTTGATGTCATTTTTACTTCCTGGATATAATTATTGTCTTTTACATTGAAATTGCCCTTTCTGAAATTTATCTGAATTTAAAATTAGGGCTTAGGAAAATTTCTGGCCCATATTCAAAGATTTATGATTATAGCTTCTACTATTTTATTTTTATATTTCATAGTTAACATAGTTCAATGGAACGCTGAAAATTAAGAAGCATGATTAATATGTATTATTACAATGACATTTTTCAAGATTAGAAAAAGCCGGTTAAATGTAGTGTTTTGTGAATGCACAAATTCATGCACTTTGACAGTGCATAGTGACTGTGATATGACACGCTACACTTACTTATCTCTCCAACTCAAGTGTCCATAAACCCCATCCATGAGTAGGTATGGACTAAACAGACTCTTTGAGCTAGCTGTAAGCTACAAAGTACTGGTATTGGTATTATTGAAGATAAAGGTGAAGTCACTGATTCCTTCTTAAACTGATAAAAGTACAATGTGTTAATATGAAACAAACTCCCTTCAAACAAACTACAAAGAGTCTATTAGTTTAGGAGGACTTGTTTTCTTGGAAACTTCTGTGGTTTCACAAAACAGGTTAAGTTGTAATAATGTCTAAGTGTGATTATTTGTCATATATAAAAAATTATCAAAAAAATTAACGTAAGTAAAAATTTCTAAATATTGTCCAACAATTCATATTAGTGACACTGTGCAGGTTTTCCTAGAAAGTAATTCAAAGTGCGTAAAATATATTTCTTTTCATTTTCAACAAAATTATAAGCAGTAACTATAAATAAGAGATGAAATGCTACCTCCAAGAATTTCAAATCAGTTCAAGGAAACTTGGAAAATAGTAGGAATTTGATCAATTATAGCTTGTTTTTGGACTGGAATAAGATATCAAGTAGAAAAAAATGCAAGCAGCCTGAATACTTCACAAATCAGCTAACTGGATGGTAACCATCTTTCCTTTATGTCTCTTCTTATATGAAAATAGCCTTTCTTACCTGGAAGAAATATGACTGTAGAGGTTGATCCTTATTTTCTTCATCCACATATAGTCCTCCTACCACATATACCTGATTTTGTTGGGTCACGATGCTGGAATGATTTCTGGGAATCTGTTCAGCCAGCGCAGTAAGGTAGCATTCATTTTCTGTGGGATCATAAGCCACTGCTGCTGTGTCATTAACCAAGAGGATGAGGTCTTTGACAAACATCCCATGCCTGGGAATGTCATTTAGGTAACCAGGAAGTAAATCTTCATCACCGACATCTCCATTCACCTCACCTGCCCCGGCCTTCTCTGTATTTTTGCTAGACTCTGGGAGTTTGCCTGCGAAGGCATCTTTGAGAACTTTGATTTTCTTCTGGAGCTCTGGGTTGCTTTTAATGATGTCATCTTTCTCAACATGATCTTTAAAATATTTTTCTGTCATAAGGCGAAAACGGATACAATCAAACACTTCACTGAGGTTTTTAACCCTGTTTTCTTTGTCTGTTCGCACCCATTTCATCACTGCCTCAAATACTGCTTCTTCCTTTTCTACATTTAGGCTGTCATTTGAAATGACTGAGATCAGTTCCTGGGGAGACAGCTGCATAAAGTCCTCTTCCTTACAAATCTGTACAAAGCGATCAGACACAAATTCACGGGCAGAGATGGCGAGTCTTGGGCAGTCAAGAAGAAGTCCTAATCTTAGGATGGCTAGACAGTTACCAGGAGCAAGTCTTTTCTGAAGGTAAGAAACACAGACAGTGAACACCGAGGGGATCTGAAAGCGGCTGGCCAATGCAAAAATATCTTGCACGTTTCCATCGTTGAGATCAATACTGGCAGAGTAGAGGTACTTGATGATTAAATCCAGTACAGCAGGATCCACGTTATCTAGTACTACCTCCTTTTTTTTCGCCTCATCAATTTCAGATAAAAAATACTCACGGAAGTAAGGACTACAAGCTGACAAAATCAGTCTGTGGCAAGGAAGGCTTTTGTCACCTGCTTTTAGGGTGCAATCGATGAATTTTTTCTCATCCAGGAGATCTTTTAGACCATCCTGAAGAAGGGTGGATTGGTAAAGCCGCAGTTCCTCTGCGAGTTCCCTCTGGGAATCCATTTTGTGAGTAACCTGGGTAAGGAAGGGAACACTGAAGGCTTAGCTCCTCACCGCACACAGTTCTCTCTGTAAAAGGCAGATCAGTGTGCTTTGCCCAGCTTGAAGCCCTTGCAATTTAATCCCACCAGCTAAATATAGATACCAACTCGAACAACGGGAATGTACGAATGTATGAGAGCTAGTTTGGAAAGTAGAGTTGTTCTTGCAGCTGTTAGAGATTGAAAGGAACAACTGAAACTTTTTATCATTAAGGAAACAACTAAACAACAAGAGATTTAAATGAAGTGCAAAGCTTGAAAATACAGAAAGCAGAAAATAGGCTGATAAAGGCTACCACAAGAAAATGTTTATTGAACTAATAAAACTGAATCATAAAAATGAGTCAGCCCACTAAAATGGTCTAGTGGCAAGCTACCAGGCTATCTGGATTAATGAAGCAGACATCAAGAATATAAGATGAGTTCATTTGAACACTCATACCCCTTTCAAATAAATTACTCACAGATTTTTATTTTCCACTTAACACAGGGAGGTATGTAAATTTTTTTTTCAAAGTAGGAAACTTAAAGACTTCTACTTATGTACTATACAGTTTTTTAAACCTTAAAAATGATACCCCATCATAACTGAAATAATGCAGAGAAACTAATTTCCTAAGAATTTCATTCTTAAGTGAACAAAACTATAATTAGTATTGAATTAAATTATAAAATTATTTACTTTATTCACACCCTGCCTTGCTCTACAAAGTATTTGATGTGGCAAACAATAACAACAACAAAACAAGTAAAATAAATGCAAAAGGTTAAAAGGAATTATCAAGACCAGAAAAAAAATAGTTTAAAGTCAATACTAGGGAAATAAAAAACCCACACAAACAATATGATCACTAAAGATATTCTGTGATTTTTAATGTGTTGAAGATGATCTTTCATTAAATAAAAAGTTTAACAATAGAACAGATGTAACCCCATGAGAACAATGTCACCAACAGACCAGCCAAATCAGGACGAAGTGCTACATCACCCTAAACAATTTAGAAAACTGCTGTTTTACACGAAAAAAAAACAAAAAACTATGTGTAAATGGAATCATATTTGTTGATTATAGTAGAACACCATATTAATTATGGAATGCAGAAGGTATGATTTGAAAGAACATTGATCTTTCGTTTACATACAGATACCACCATTTACTTGTTCATGAAATATTTTCTTATAAAATTATATTGTCACATTTTACAAACTCAGTGGGGCTGTAGATATATTGTATTTTCAAAGGTCGGAATTCTTTTTTAATTTTTAAAATTAGTTTCAGGTGTACAACACAGTGTAATAGTTATACTTTTTACCCCTCAAAGTGACAACCAAAGGTCGGAATTTTTAAATATGATCAAAAGAACATAAGCTCCATGAAGACAGGGATTTGTTTTTTTGTTTGTTTGTTTTGTTCAGTGCTATTACTCTAGGGCCTTGTGGGTGCTCCATTATATTTGTTGAATGAATGAATGCGCGTAGATCGGAGAATTATGTATTTTTAAACTTCAAGATCTCTCCATGAGTAAAGGTTTTTTTCCCTTATTTTACATCATGGTGAAGTCAGTGGTACAGTCAGCTGCTAAAACAACAGCTGAAAGAAGAGCTCATTGACTCTTTTTCCATTTATAGATGCCACTAAGGTTTTAACACACTAGAAAAACAGCTGCTCCCTTGTTTGAACAATAAATGATTCATTTCTCTTCACACGTAACACCTAACATTTAAAAAGATTAATGAGTCAGATGCAAACACCATGATATGACATTTAAGATTATTCCTTACTAGTTGGCAATTTCATAGTCTTTTTTTGCTGGAATAACTATTTCAACAACAGTCCTGGTAGCATTTTGTGACCTGTATAAATTTTTCCAACAACCTTTTCCCCCCCAATATAGATTGTTTATTATAACCCCATCCCTTAAAAATGTAGAAATCCTTTCCTATTTAAGTAAAGAAACCACTGTATAGCTTTATTTCATTGGTTTTTATTAGATTCAGGTTAGCATTTGGTTGTACTGTGTGTTTATGGTTGTATATACAATTGAACCTTATGTTAAACGTTTTTACATGCTCACTCCTTTTCCTCTAGAGAAAGAGGGCTCTTTTGGCTAATTTCAATGATTTGACAAAGGTTCCCTATGATGCTAATTTATACCGAAGCAGTGGCAAAAAACACTGATGGCCAGAGAGGTCACCAAATCTTATGTAACCAAAAAATCTGAAAATAATATCCTTTTTTTGAGAACTTCAAAAAATTTTCAATGAATACAAACAAGGAGACAGTCAAATGAACTATTTACAAACTACTTAAAACTATTTACTTACAAAATAAATGTATTCTTGCTAAAACTATATTGAAATTATTTACAAAACAGTGCCCAAAACTTTATAGGAGTTGATATATACAAGAGTTAGTTGTAATTTTTAGTTTTTACAAAAATGATCACCTAAAAATGACAAGTTTAAGAGTCATAATTTATATTAAGAGTTGGCTTACATTTCGAGCAATGTGATAATATATTTAAAGCATATATTTATAACTTAAAAAGCTGTATTTTGATAATTCCATAAGAATATATAAATAGTCTTATTCTTTTAAATAATACTTTCAAAACATTAAATGATGCTGCATAAATTCTTTATTAAACCCAACATGATACAGTCATTTAGTATCTGCAGACTAGTAATTTACAAGTATTAGGTAAAAAATAAACATATTTACAAACCAGATATATTTTGATTACAATTTTAAATATAATTTTTAGAAAACTGGCAGTAAAATATTAGATAAGTGAGTTTTTCCTTAATCATTAAAAAACTCTTTCTTAAAAGCTATTTCTGTAAATGTAAAAATTATTTCATGCCTAATAACAGGCGGCTACTATCTTTAACCTTGAGATATCTTTAAAGAAATCCAGCTCAACTCAAGATCAACTCATTACTTCCCAAAGTCCCTGTAGGGTGAATCCATCCTTCAATTTCTCTATTGCAAGCCCCAGTTCTTCTGAAAATACAGGTTCACGATCTTGTTGCTTTTGGGGAGGTAAGAGGATAAGATGGGAATAGAGAAGGTGGGCAAGGAAGAGGAAAAAAACAAAAAATAGGTTTCACATAAGTTTGTGAATACTAAATGTTGGAAAATAGAAAGTTTTTTTCATACACTATAGGTAAAATATCCTTACCTTATTGCCATCAGCAAAATAAGCCTATAAGACAAAGAAAATTATATTTTTACATATCAACATAATATAATAGGTCAGTGGGCTAAGGAACAAGGTACTTAATTTACAGAACAATTTTGTGACTAAATGTATTTAATATTCTGTTGTTATGTGTCTAATGGTTTTCTCAATTATCTTTACAGTGCTGGTAGCGGAATTCACTTTTTCTGTCAATAATTATTAAAATATTCAAGAGTTATGCTTGAAGCTCTAAAAACTGTGCTGTGTTATTAGTGTATAATTAGCATTGTTAACTTGAAAAGAGATAAAAATGACTCGGGAGGTATAAAATTTCATCCCTCCTTTTTATTTAGAAGAAGACGCTGGTAAAACAAAACAATCAGTGCTTCAATGTGTCAGCAAATGCATATAGCTTAAGATAGTAGTAGTAGTTTATAACTATTTTATACTAATTTCACATTATTGTTTAAAAATATTTATTTCCAGAGGAGCATTCTGGTCAGATTCATGGACCACAATATAAGCATTATTATTATTATTTTGGCTATTAATTAGATAAATTTGGAAACAGGAAAGTTTATTGTTCAAATAGATACCCATTTTAAGATAATATACCTATATTGAAGAGAAGTCCATCTCATAAAAGTTAATTATAGAAAATATAGATTTTAAATTAACTTTAACATGCTCAATTATTCTAAGGTATGAAAAAACTTTTCATATATCTGAAATCTTTATAATAATTATGTTCTCAAACTATTTCCTAGTTGGGTAATTTAAAAGTATTTTCACACACATACAATCCCTACCTTAAAAAAGAAATTACCCTCCAGCTGATGTTTAAGATACTCTCAAAAGTTTGAAGTTCTATGGTGTTTTACACACTTAAATCATTATTTAGTAAAACATGACTTGGATTAAAAAAAAAAAAAGCACAGGAACTTAGTAGCTCTCCTGTGTGATGCTCACCACAAAGGCATCTGTATGATCATCAGAGTCTATTTCCACATCATCTTGAATTTGTTCAACTGTCAGAGCTTCAAGGGGCTGTGGCTGAAAATCAGTAGATGTTAAAATGCATCAGAGACAATATTAATTAAACAGATAATTTTAGTAAAATGTGCTGTGAGAATTGTAAATACTTGTAAAAGGATAATACAATTACAAACTACTCAAGTCTTATAAAAATCATTGCATAATTTATATTCTATTAAAACTAACTTGAGTAATGTGTCAGTTAACCTAAGCTTTTAAATCTGAAGTCCCTATCATCAAAAGAATTAAAATGACAAATTTACACATACTCACTATGATACTTAGAGATATCCTTAAAGAAAAAACTCTTATTGGACTTATCTGATTTTCTTTCACATAGTTAAAAAAAACTAATTTTGTATAATAGCAAATTTTCAGTTTTCCTTAAAATTGTCATTACATTTAATTTGTGAAAAGGGCTAAGATTTGTTTACAATATTCCTAAGGTAAAGCAGAATAAAATACCACACTCATATTTTAATTCATTTTTCAAATAATTAAGTACCTCTGGTGTATTAGGCACTATGCTAGTACTACTAAGGGTATAAAGTCCCTGCCCTTACCCACAAAAGGTTTGTAATCTAGTGGGAGTGGAACAAAGGATAAATCACAATTACAAATAACTAAATATTAGGTTGAACCATGTGAAATTGCCATTTTTGTTACTCGAAAATGGTCAAATATTAATATCAATATGGTTCAACCTATGCAAAGTAGCTGTAACAAATGCAGTAACTATTATAATAAAAGTTTGGAGACAGCACAACTTCTGGCTTGTGAATCCTACAAACTTCCATGAAGAAAAGGTTGGCATGTATGTAACCTAGGGCTTTTAGGATGAGGATGCTTTTTATAGGTAGGATTAGGGGAATGAGTATTCCTGGCAGTGGGTATCAGCATCCAGAAAGGTACGAAACAACGGGATAGGCTGGAGAATGATGAATAATCCAGTGTGGTCATAATATAAGAGTCTCATGAGACAGAAGGATCTAAATAGGGCTATTGTATTGAACAACACCAAGCAGCATCATTCACATAAAATCTATGTGAACAATGTTCTCTAGCGTTGGGCAGTGTACAACATGCATAACCAGACACTATGGCTGTGCAGATAATGTGGGAAAGGTAGACTGAAGTCTACTGAAATTCTTTAATACCAGCCCAAAGAATTTAGACTTTATTTATAGGTAATTGGTGGGGGAGGGGTGAGAGTAGAAGTGTATTGCTTTACAAGACAGTAACCTGATTCCATAATGTGAGGTTAGCCTCAGTGTTTCAACCATGTTCACAGCCGTGTGATTATCTTCAAATAATTTAACCTATTGGGTTGTTGGAAAAGTCATGACATATGTTTGCGACAGATGGCACTAGTTAATTTTTGGAAGTACTAGAGTCATTCACATCTATGTTATTGCTATGTCATTTGACAGCTGACAGTTCTAGCTTCATTCTAAAAAAAAATTGAGCGATTTGATTGAGTTTTGGAGATTTTACAACAAGCTGAAGATAGCAGACCAAACTGCATTTTTGCCATATTTTACTGTTTCACTTCCATAAAGGGAAGGACACGCATCAAGTTTGTGAAAAGTTGCATAAAGTTTATGGTGACAATGCTCTACAAGAACATCAGTGCCAACGGTGGTTCACAAAATTCCATGCTGGTGATTTTGATCTCAACGACGCTCCTTGGTCAGGGAGGCCCACCGAGGTTGATGATGACAAAATAAAGGCATTGATTGAGTCAAACCCACGTTACACGACACGAGAGATTACAGAAACATTTAGCATCCATCA